AAGGGAACTCGAGCCTGTTGAAGACCTCCCACAACATTTTACATTCTTTGATGCCTCCTCTGAGTCTCTGACTTTGATTGGAGTTGATATCACTCGTGAGAACTCACACCAGGGTTTGCCTGGAGTTCGAGTGTGTGTGTGTGTGTGTGCGTGCATGTGAGTCCTGTTCCGAAGGATGTAGGATTTGTAAGCTTTTGTAAAATCAGTTGGACCGTTTCGCAAGCATGGTTGACGGTCCAACGAGAAGGGTCATGCTTGTGACTGATATGCATCGAGGACGCTTGATCCACGTACCTGCTGTAACGGCCGCCCGAACTGTACCCTCAAAGCTGTTGTTTTGTAGTGGCCATCACAAGTAATCGAACACATACCAAGCAGTGTTGCGATTGAAGAGAAGTGATGCACCCATCTAGGCATGGATGACTGGTCTGCAAGTGTGTGTGTGTGTGTGTTCCTGTTCTGTTCTGTCCATGGCGATGATGATCTGAACGAATAGTGTCGAAACCGGAGGACGTTGAACCCCCTGCACCCTGAACCCTAAACCGCCAATCACGATCCCCGCCACGCTCACCAGAACTCCCGACTGTGGATCTGATGGTCCCATTGTGGCCAAAATGGCTTTCAACCCTCTGTCTTGGACGGTTGTTTAAATTCCTGGGCAGTTGACAACGAGTTGTCCCTTTGTTTTCCAAGCGCTTCCTTGCAGGCAGCGCTGCAAGCCGAGAATGCGGAGCTTAAGCTGCTGGTCCAATAAGTTCGGGATTACTGGACAGAGTGGTGGGGGCCTTTCTGCTAGGTAAACTCTGTTTCCCCCACGCGGCCAGGGCAGCTTAGGAAGCAGCTGTCGTCCAAAGTCTGGACCATGACTTTGGCGACTGTGGCTTGGCTGCAGGTAACCGGCGACCCCTAAACCCCCAAACCCTCAAGCCGAAACATTTGATGGATCGCATACGTTGCATTGATTTCTAGATACCTGACAATACTTGTCAGGTTTGTGGCCTCCAGCAAACCGCAAGCAGCGCACGACAAGCAAAAGACGGTCGAACGAGTTTCGCAAAAAAAAAATCTAACACATCACCACTGTCAGGTTCTCGAGTTGGAGAAGCGAGCCATGGAGGGGTCGACCAACGCGGAGCGGGTGACTCTTCCTTACAGCGCCTCGGCTGTAGATGTTGCTTTTCGTGAGGATGCTGGCCTCGTTGCTGTTTCTTGCTGACATCTGTTGTCTCCAACAGGGCCTGCTTCTGTCAAGATCTTCGCGTCGAGTTGCGGTTTCATCTCATCGGGCCGATTGTGGTAGACTGCCTCAATGTCTTGTTTCGAGTGCCAGGCTCAGTGTCCAAGGGCCTAGGGTGTTGGCCTCACTGCGCCATGACTTGGCTTACTTTTACACTGTCTGTGCACGTCCAAGATGACAGCCCAGCCAAGGAATAGCAAGCCTGGAAAGGTCTGTTTTCGGCTCCACGGCGAGCGAGGACACTGCGATGGAGCTCAGGAAGTTGAGTCTGTGGCCTCAATGTCTGGATTGACTGACTGAAGCTGCTTGATGACTCCTTTGCCACTAGTTGTAGGCATCCCAGCTACAGAGTGAATGTGTAAGTTGTGCAGACGAAGCATGACGAAGCCATTGCACACAGCTTGAAGGACGATCTGAACAAGATCGCATCGCTGCAGACAGACTATCTCCAGCTGCAGAAGGCAGTGGCTGCACCGAGCGGCCACGAAGTTGATTCGCATTCCTGCGTCCAGACGACAGTGCTGAGGGGTCAGACAAGTTGACTGCGCAAAAGCTTGATACTTGTAGCAGGGTGTTTGTGAGTTGTTGCTCCTTGGCTGTCGTACTACCACTGCAGTGAGTATTGCGGTCGCCACAAGACCTGTCTTCAACATGCGAAGTCGTCGACCACCATAGGGTCTGAGAGCTCGGCACGGCACGGAATAGCCTTGGCGCATAGGGAAGTGCAGTGCGCGAACATACCAGGTTGCAAGAGTCTAAGCTTCAAGTTGAAAGTCCGTCGTGTGCCCCTTCATACAAGTGAGCCATGGATGTAGCCACCAATGACCCTGACTCCCCCGATTCCGGCAGGATTACGAGAGCCTTGCAGACGAGTACCAAGAGCTGAAGGATCGGCCCCCACAGGCGCCACTCAAGGGAGCCAGAAGAGAGCCTCTCCTGATACCGCCAGTCTGCTCGCCTCCTCGTCTCTTGCCGTTCCAACCTTCAGGTCATCGAGAGCTCCGCGAGCGTGAAAATGCTGGAGGACCACGACATCCCGGTGGAAGCTCTGACAGCGAATGTCGCTATCAGAACCTAGGAGACTTAAGGACCACAAGTACATTTATGTGGGATGCGAGCCATGGGTCTCGTGGTCCGAAATTGCTCGTCCCGTGCATCTCTGCTCACGCCAGCAGGCTTCAAGGACTTTGGGCCTCGAAGGTTCGGACTGTTTTTGCTTGCATCGGGGCCTTCACATCGAAGCGTTCATGTTCAAAGCTGCGGAGCATCGCCTAATGCCTGCAGGAGCAGGTGCAGAAGCTGCAGGAACGTTATCAGGCGAGGTCGGCCGTGTTCTCAGAGCTTTGGGGGGGAACGCTCCGTGCCTCCTGTTGTTCTTGGGTTTGGGGCGAGGTATCCGTTCAGTGTCGGAAGAGTTTGCAGCACAGAAGACACAGTGGACCTGGCAGGCAGTGCAGCAGAAGATGTCCAAGCTTCGGGTGCAGCATTTGGAGCTCGAGACACAACACAGCCAGCTCCAGGACACGACATAATAGGGACATCCAGTTGTTTGGATTTTTTTCTGCGGGGCGACTGGGACAGAATATGCAAAGAGACACAAGCATAGTAGGCAAGCTGCAGGAGGCATGAAGCGAGAGGATAGAGACCGGAGACAGTTATGTCATCGTTTTGAGACGAAAACTTGCGTGCCGCGCGTCTGTTTGGACACCTCCAGATTTGGCTGAACCTTGTGAAGGGTGAAAGCAGAATTGCATGCCGATCCACCTTAAGTTTGTTGTAGTTGCTGTAGTTTCAAGGCGCGAGGTTGGAAGCGATGTGTCTGCATAGAGCCACTGAAGCCTCCGAGCTCGGAGCCAGGCAGAGCACGAGAAGCTCAAGGAGGAGGCGGCAAAGGCCTGCGCCGCCTCAGAGGGAGACGGCGGACAAGTAGATGACGATGATACAGATGGTGGTAGCGGTGGTGGTGGTGGTGGTCATGATGATGATTGCGATGACGCTGCCCGCGGACAGTTTCTTGTCATGCCTACACGCTCTCCTCCCGCGGATCTAACTTGAGCCGGCTCCTGGACAAGGTCTCGTCGAAGCCTTACATCTTCCAGTGCTGTCCCCGTGGTGACAAATCGGCTCGCTGGAATAGTTTCCAATACGATTGTAAAACATCCGCATATTATCGGAGACCAGGTTCACAAAGGTCTGCAGTCCGAACCCCTACACCCGCAACATCAAAGCACATGCAACACCTATGCTTGCAGGCGCACAAGCACCAGAGCGCGCAAGTTGGAACCTCTTTCGCTCAGAAGACTTTGTGTTTTGTGGCCTTTGGAATAAGTGGGGGTTGGGTAGTGGTCGTACGAGGCTCTCAGCGTTCCAGCCGCGAATGGGTGTACCCAAACTCCTGCAGTCAAGGACGACTCCGTCGTGAGCACGAGAAGCTGGCCGAGGAGCTGCAGCAGGCGTCGGGCTTCGGTTGTGGCATTTCAGGGTGCAAGACGTTGCGCCGTTTTCGCATACCAATAATTCGCCACTCGTCGATATCAGAAGCCGCCTGCCCACCCGAAAAACCAACCACCCAGACACCCCCAGACACCCATGATGGAGAAGATTGCACAGTCCTTTCCCCTTCGGTAGCAGAGCTACAGACTGTCAGCCAGGATCCGAACAGCCGGGCAGGAGCAAGGTTGTTGTGATGCAGGGCGGCGGTTACACACGGACTGCAAGAGTATCTCGACCCTGTACCCTGATTAAACTCTAAACTCTAAACCCTACACCCTCAACCTTGATTCCTGATAAGTGATGGAAGCCGAGCTTCCCCAGGTGCGCGGGGCTTACGCCGAGGCCCAGGCCCAGCTGGAGAAGCTGCGGAAGGCGCGTGCCATCAGCAAGACTACTACACATTAGTAATAAAGACAAGTAGATGAAGAAGTGAATAGCAACGATGTTTAACTTAATCAAAACTAATAATCAGGTGTAATCATGAATAGTAATGCGAAAGCACAAGCATGACAAAATGAATGATCATGAATGTTCTTGGACAATCATGAAAACACATGATCAATCACCAATGCTCATGAAAGTTTCTTAACACGAAAAAACCATTAGGACTAGGAACAGCCTACAATAACAAGACCGACGATCACGACTACCACCACAAGGTGGTAGTAGTAGTAGTAGTA